AATGTAAAATCTTTTATTAGCAAGCTCTCAGAAAGAAAAGATGGCAGCAAGACTCACGCAAAATACCAAATTAAAATTCAATATTAATGTGGTTCAACCCTCTGATTCCTCCTTTATGCTGTCTTTTGAAGTTTCTTCAATTGGTCTGGTCAAATATATTTTTCTTAGTTTCTTCTGAGCATTTTCATTTGGTTTGGTCAAATGTCTTCTGTATTAAAATAAGTATCCTCCTCTTGAGTGATATGTGAGTTACTTTGTTCTTCTGTGATGGGGAACCCAGACAAGAGTTCCCAGATGAGCAAAAACTTGCCCCTTTTAACATTTCCAGAATGGGATACTGGACTTCCATGTAAGAGACTGAAAGTGGTGACCTCATCATCCGAGCCTTGCAGGCCTTCCTGCCTCTAGACTTATCAGCAAAAGAAATTCTTTTGGCACTGTGATCTTTTTTAAAACTGTAATCACTTCATTTTATGGTTCAAACTATTTTTACAGGGAAAAATAACAGCCCTATTCCCCTGCTGATTGCTACATTTCTAACAAAAAATCAGGAAGCTGCTCCAGATTTCTTTATCATTTATGCCTTGTTTTTCTCATTAAAACATAATGCTTCTTTTTAATACAATAGAAAGGAGAGACTTCATTAGAGAATCATTTAAAATCTGCTCAGCCTCTGACACATATAGCTGGGGTATGTCTCTTCCAGGCAGAGGTTTACAGGAGGCGCTGTTGAGGCTAGGGTGTCACATTATTCCCTCATTTGCCAGACAGTCACTGTGGTGTTGGATGTAAATGATTTACTTTCTTTAATAATTCTTGTGGGGAAAAAGATTTAGGCCAGAATGAATTTCATATCTTCAGGTTGCTTGACAGGATCCACTCGCTCCAAGGGCAGAGTTTGGTGCTTTTACATGAAGTGTCATTTATTTAACCACCAATAGAAAGTTTTTCTGCTGTGTTTGTCTTTCCAGACCACTTTCAGGACTATGTTGAAAAAGAAGAGGATGTCTCTGACCAGCAGGAGAGGAATTCCAGTTTGGACCAAGAGAAACCAGAACCTCTGCAGATAAATGAAGAGCAGCAAGAACCAGAACTTCCCTGGACAAAAGAGGAAACCATGGAGCTCCCCATAGGTGAGCATGAAGAGCAGCTTGTTCTAAAGAAGCAGAGAGAACACTTTCCCATGTTTCATATGTGGAGAAAACTTTCCTAGAAAAGTACATTTAATGGTTCACATGAGAGCTCACACAGGTGAGAAGTTTTATGAATGTCAACCCTGTGGAACAATGTCCACAAAGAAATCTAGACTTGATAGGAACATCAAAGCCACCTATAAACCTCTTAAAAGCATCCCTATGTTATACTTTGTCAACATAATTTTCTCTATCTCTCATTTTGATTAAAAAAAAATGAATGTCTCCATGGCGGCCTTTTCTAAAAAAGCAATCAATTTATGACACTTTGTCATCAATGTGCAACAGCTTAGATTGCAAAAGGTGAGGCAATTCTCAGCAGGCATTCTCTTCTTCTCATAACACTGGTTCAGCAAAAGGGTAAAGGGCTTTTCCACCTCTTTTCTTACAATCTTAAGTGTTGTTAATCTGCTCTTCTTTAAAATCTATAGCAATCAGATGCTTCAAACCTGGTTTATAATATCCCAAGATAAAAGCAACATTTTTCAAACTTCCTTTTTGTTTTATTAGAGCATTTCTTCCTTGTGAAATTTTAATAAAGAGCCCTGGAAAGGCCTGTTTTTTGCATCTGGGCCACATATTTAAGCTGGCATAAGCTAGATTGAAACACGTAGTTCAATTCAGTTCCAACACCATATAAATCTGGGTGTCGTTCTGTTGAACATATTAGCGAAAGAGAGGGACATTCAGTGAAATTCTTCGAGCTGCTTGGGTACCCACCTCCCGTGTCAAGCTTTTAGCCAATCACAGCTGCAGTAGCTGCTGATATGTAACCGATTCTTGATTTGTTTTACGGTGTTAACTGATAACTCAAATTCTTACCAAATCCGGTTCCGAGGAAAACACAAACACCTTTTTTCATCGACAAAAGAGATAATTGTGTCCTTTTGCTCATGGTATAGAGGGTATTCGAGTTAAACGGGCACGACATATTTGTGTTGCTTCAGCCTTCTGCCTCTGGTTGTAGTCAAACACGTCTCTCCGTTTCAAATAGTTCAAAAGGAACAATTCGCTTTATCATTATTCTTTTGCTACCCTGTATGATATCTAAATGCTTTAGACTTAAGATGTATTACTATGATGCACAATTTCTTCACCACGGACTGAGTCATCAAATAGGCAGATGTTGAGCTGCATGAATCTTTGTCATGAGTTTAGTTTTAACTCTTGGTTTCAGAGTGAGGTAGAAATAAACTGGGGAGGGAAAAGATTGAACTTGTGTTTGTGATTGAAGTCAACAGTTCTTCTGCAGAATAATGTGTTGGAAAAATGTCATCATTGTGATATTCACTCTGCTTATCTTAAGATGTTTTGCATTACACATATTGTTTCTTAAGAGGTGCATACTGTCTTTTCATCATCCTTTTATACTTTTTCCACTATTTATTGTGTCTAAGGAGTAGGAGTCAGAGAAGGTATAATCTACCTCTGTACCTCTGAGGTCAGTGAAGATAAACAGTTGGATCGGACCAGAATGGATGGAGCTCTGGCTTTCTGGAGTGCACCTTTCTTTTCTTTTGGCCTTCTGTGATAAATGTGTGCATACCCTCATTTGGGGCTTATCTGTAGGGTCACAGTGGGGCTTGGTGCTCCTTTCCAGCAGTCTCTGGGCAAAAGTTAGTTTGTTCAGCCACAAAAAAAACAACATCTAAAAAATATTTTAAACGTTTATTTAATGGTTAAGAATCTGCAGATAATCAGATTTTAATGCTTTGTTGATAAAAGTGGAGGTCCAAACCTTGCCAGATGGTTGAGCTTTAACCACTATTTTTCAACCTCTAATTGTGGTTTCAGAGCTGCAGTGCATGTTGGGAGATGTAGTTCCAGTCTGTTTTTATGTAGTTAGATCAACACAAGAATGATTAAAGTTTAAATAAGTTTCCTTTCTTTAACCCACAATAGAAAGTCTTTCTGCTGTGTTTGTCTTCCCAGACCGCCTGCAGGATTATGTTGGAAAAGAGGAGGATTATTCTGACCAGCAGGAGAGGAATTCCTGTTTGGACCAAGAGGAATCAGAACCTCTGCAGATAAAAGAAGAGCAGCAAGAACCAGAACATCCCTGGACAAAAGAGGAAACCATGGAGGTCCTCATTAGTGAGCAGGAAGAGCAGCTTGTTCTGAAGCAGGAGGCTGAAGATAAAGAAGAGGAAACTTTCCCATGTTTGACATGTGGAGAAAACTTTCTTAAAAAAGAACATTTAATGGTTCACATGAGAACTCACACAGGTCAGAAGATTTATGAATGTCTGTCCTGTGGAAAAATGTTCACAAAGAAATCTAATCTTGATAGACACATTAGAATTCACACAGGTGAGAAGCCTTTTTCCTGTACAATTTGTAACAAGAATCTTACTGAAAAAAGTCATTTGACTTCTCACATGAGAATTCATACAGGAGAGAATCTTTTTGTATGTCTGTCCTGTGGAAAAAGCTTCACTAAGGAATCTAATCTTGATAGACACATCAGAATTCACACAGGTGAGAAGCCTTTTTCCTGTTCCATTTGTAACAAGACTTTTACTGAAAGAAATAATTTGACTACTCACATGAGAATTCACACAGGGGAAAGGCCTTTTGAATGTTCGTCCTGTGGAAAAAGCTTCACACAGAAATCTGATCTTGATAGACATATCAGAATTCACACAGGTGAGAAGCCTTTTTCTTGTACCATTTGTAACAATAATTTTACTGTAAAAAGTAGTTTGACTAAACACATTAGAACTCATACAGGTGAGAAACCTTTTGAATGTCTGTCCTGTGGAAAACGCTTCACTTGTAAGTCTGATCTTAATAATCACATCAGAAATCACACAGGTGAGAAGCCTTTTTCCTGTACTATTTGTGGAAAAACTTTTACTTTAAAAAGTATTTTGACTACACACATGAGAATTCACAAAGGTGAGAAGCTGTTCTCCCGAATGATTTGTGACAAAGGTTTCAAATGAGGAGGTAATTTTACAGAGGACATTTATTCATGCATGATGTGGAATGATTTATATTTTTAATAAAGCATTTGTTTCACATAATTCACAGCAGTTAGATGCCATAGGAAAGAACAGTAGAGGTGTTTTCCATGTTTGACTGGTGATAAAATGTCCATATAGAAACTCCTTCACCCCCTTACATGAGAAACTCACAGGTTAATGGCAAAGTTTTGTTAGTTAACTTAATTAACAGTTCTGTTTACATGGAAACTAGAACAGATGAGATGTTATATTGTAATTCTAATAAATATTCAGGTATTCAGAATATGTGGATGTGAAAAATTTTAAAGTTAATTATTTTGAGTCTCAGTAAATTTCATTTAGTTGGCCAAAATGAGAATGTTGCCCTAACAAAAAGATTTCTTACTTTCTCTGTAATAAAGGAAAACATCTTGGTGACAGATGAAGCAAGTTTGCTAAACTATTGGTTGGATATATTCGAGAAACACTTTTATTCAGATTAAAATATCCTCAAATGAAAGTAAAGCAAAGGTAGAACAGTTTTAATGAGCTTTGCTCAGTTTTGCTGATGTTTTTGGAGGATTTTTTAAGAGGTCAGCTGCAAATGATGAGAGTTTAGCTAATTCAGTGTCTTGTTGGCTTTCATTAGCAATGCATCAATCAGCCATGGCCCACCAAAACTCCAACTGTTTTTGGCCCAGTGTTAGAGCTATGGTCAATGGATATTAGAATGAAGTAGATCATCTATAGAGGAGTCTCAGATGAAGATTTGGGACATATATAAGTGTGTGTCAGTCTCAGAGTTAGTCAGCTACAAGCTAATTAATGTTGCAAAGTAGCTCCAGCCACCTTGAAAGGGGGTGCTGGGATTATGGGGTTAAACTACGGGACATCAAAGAACTCAGTTTAGAGGCTGCAGTCTGTAGTTCAGGTAAATTGAAGTCCTAAAATGATGAAACATGTTTGTTTAAAAAGATAAACAGGATTGATTATGTTATTTTTTCTGATCAGTTTGAACCTGCTTTAACTTGGTAAAAAGTCTTTGTCTTAATAATTTATTGAAGAAATCTGAAATTTCTCTAGAAGTGTGAAATATCTGCTTTTTGGGGATTTTTTGAAAGTATAATTTTCCTTTGAACTAATTCTAAAAGTTTTGTCCTTGATTCTATAGATGTTCTATTTACCTGCTATAAATGAAAGTAACTATCACCTATTTTATACAACTGATTTTATGTATTATATTCAGCTGCACTTTGTTAGACCTTGGAAAATCTGTTCAAGCTGTGTTTATAATGTAGAAGAGGTCATTTTTAGAAAATTATTTGAATTTATTTTTGTATTATAAAAGAGAACTATAGTTTTGTTTCTGGTTGTTACAGATTTCCTTTTACTACAAATGTTGTTTTTGTACCATTTAGGTATAATAAAGCTCTTCATTAACCTTTGAGAAGTCTGTCTGAATCCGCCTGGAGGCAAAGTGTCCTCTTTATGGAAATATAAATATGTTCACCCTAATATATATACCTATTCTAAAAGAATTAGTTCTGTAGTTCCCATTTTTAAGTCAACTGATGTTTGCAGGAGCTGTTTTGAACTAGACTACAGAGGGACTGCAGCAGTTTATGGATCATGTTACTTTGCAATTTGAACTTTATTAGGTAGATTCATTGAACCTCCTCACAACAATTTGGAGATAAAGGCTCTTTATCTAAATTCAAATAATCCAGTACATTGTATGTTTGACCTCTACCATAAATTATGAGCATATTTACAAAAAATGATTTGATTTAAAATAATTCAATCTTGTTTAAATAAAAAACTTTGGTTTACCTACCATGTCCCCTTTTCTATGTTCTTCTGAAATAATTTTATGATTATAATAAAAATAATTAATAAAAAAAAAACATTGAATCAGCACAGATATCTAGAAGATGGTCCAATAGATCTCATCAGAAAGAACTACATTAGATCATCATGCAGACAGCAGTGAGTGGGCGGAGCCAGGATACCTGCACAGGTGAGGAACAGCCTTCTGGAATAGAACTGCAAACATCCAAAGTTTCATAAATGTAGTGAACAGCTCAAGCTCTCTGCTATAAAACTCCAAAAATATGAAACTGAGGACAAAGAAAGAGTGAGCAGAAAGAGTCACACAGAGAACATGTCAGGAAATAAGGGACTTTGGTTAAAATCTGAGGTAATCTGATTTTGGATGGAGCAAAACTTTCTTCAACTCAATAGTTCCAAAGCCATCCTGGTTAGAACTCCTCATCAAACCAAATATTATCCATAACCAGCATCACCTTTCCTGGTACTAACATCCCGCTCTGATCAACAGTTATTATTTTTGGTTTAAAAATGGACTCCCAACTCACTTTTGAAGCCCATATAAATCAATTTCAGTAACTCTTTGTGTCAATCGTTCTCTCAAAAAACAGCAGTTGGCTAACATCTGTGACATCTGTGCTCTCATCCAAAGCTAATGAGAAGTATTTGCAGTCATGCATGACTTGTTTAATTTTTACATCGATCGTCAAAAATCCTGCGTGTTAATGTGCTTAAGGACACACATTCAAAGTTTTTAGCCATGTTGTCACCAATTGCTTTGGCCATTTTTACTGTTAACCACTTCTCCATCCAACAGTGGCTTCTTTGCCCTGGCAAGTTTGAGTTCCACATCATAACACGCTATGATGGCTGAAACTTGACACGTCGTAGTTATGAAAAAGTGCTGCTGTTTAAATACTTTCGATTTGAGGTCTGATACTAGCACGCTGGCAGCTCCAGTGTACTTCTCATACTTAACCTTATGCAAGGTGTTGTGATGTGGACTTAGGTTGTAATCTTTCAGGGCTGATAATGTCTCCAAGCAAATTAGACACATTGGCTTTCCTTTGAATTCGGTGAAGAGGTACTCTTCTTTCCATTTTATCTGGAAAATAAAATTTTCTCGGTCAAGTTTTCTCTTTATGCAACTGCTAGTGGCCATGTTGCAAAGCGGGCCCGTGCCCACTATTGTTTGTGTACGGTGCACCCTCTATTGGTCAAAAGTACAATCATGGCCAAAAGTATTGAAAATGACACAAATATTATATTTTCACACGATCTTCTGACCTCAGGTTTTTATGTGTGTATGTCAGATGTTGTCATCACATACAGAAATACAATTGCAATCATATTATGAGTAACAAAAGCTTTTAATGACAGAATGAGTTAATGCAACAAGTCAATATTTGCAGTGTTGACCCCACTTCAGAGGGGGTTCATCAGAGAAAATGACTTTACCCCAGTCCTCAGCAGTCCACTTCCTGTACCTT